TGTATAGATATTTTAAGATTGTTACATTTGAATAAGTGAGTGATATTCTTTTTAATTTTCTCCATTTGCTGACCAGTAGCATTTTTAAAAAACTGCTAATCCATCATCGCGTAATTTTGCTCCATAAGTTGAGCACTCTACGCAAGTCGTATACGTAAATGGAGAAAACAAACTTGAAATATTCAGTCAAGAATATTCCAATTCCATCAATTAAAGACTATAAAATGCAATTATTAGACAAAAGCGAGACCTTGATCAAGAAAATGCGATGGAAAGCTTTTTTTTATCTAAATAGTAGTTTGCGAAGTAAGTACGATTTTAAATATAGTTCTTATGGGTTAAAAACACCGCACTGTCCAAAGCAAATCAACGAAATGTTAGCTTTTGAAAACGATTTATTAGAGCTAATAAAAAACATCAAGTTCCGCAAAATAACCAACAGTTTTCAAAGTAGACTAAAAAGTGATATTTCAAACATCCGCATATCTAAATTAACTTAAACCTATGCTGATAAAACTTCTAATCTGTATAATTTATCAAAAGACAGTTATAACCACTTGTTGACAAACGCCATTACTTCTACCTACAAACTAGCTATCTTAAAAATAAAAGATAAAATAAACAAAGGTAAAAATTTTTTAAAGAATCATGCTATTTTTAACAAAATTGACATTAATGCATCTTCTAACTGCTTCATAACGTTAAAAGACCATAAAACTAATTTTACAAACAATCCAACAGTTAGATTAATAAATCCGGCAAAAAATGAAATAGGTAGAATTAGTAAAGACATTCTCTCAAAATTAAACTCTGAACTAAAGAATACTTTACACCTTAATCAGTGGAAAAACACTCAAAATGTTATCAATTGGTTTAAATATAAAAGATAAACACCTTTATAAATTCCTCATCTTTGATATCAACGATTTCTACCCTTCAATTAGTGAAAAACTCCTTAACAATTCTATCAGTTTTGCGGAAAAATATGTCACTATAAGCATAGAACAAAAGTCAAATATTTTTCATGCAAGGAAATCTTTACTGTTTAATAATGGCCAGGTTTGGATGAAAAAGTCTGGCAGTTTGTTTGACGTTACCATGGGTGCGTTTGATGGTGCGGAGATATGTGAGTTTGTTGGGATATTCATTCTTTTTCAAATTTCACATTTTTATAGTAAATATGACTTTGGCTTATACCGTGATGACGGATTAGCAGTTTTTAAAAATGCTACTGGTCAGCAAATGGAGAAAATTAAAAAGAATATCACTCACTTATTCAAATGTAACAATCTTAAAATCTATACAGTGCAACCTCAAAATTGTGAACTACCTCGATGTAACTCTTTACCTCTGCGACCAGTCATACCAACCATACTGCAAACCTGATAATACTTTAAACTACATACATGCTCAATCTAACCACCCTCCTAATATACTAAAACAACTACCGCAAAATGTTAAACTCAGATTGTCCGGAAATTCTAGCAGCGAAGAGGTGTTTAAAAAATATGTACCTATTTATAATGAAGCACTACGAAACTCTGGTTATAAACACAATTTATCTTACCGACCTAACTTGGAACAACAACAAAAGAAAAACCATACGCATCAAATAATCTGGTACAACCCACCCTATAGCATAAATGTCACCACAAATATAGGAAAAAGCTTTTTAAACTTGATTGTCAAACATTTTCCAATTAACAACAGACTACACAAAATTTTCAACAAAAACACAGTAAAAATCAGCTACAGTTGCATGCCAAACATAAAACCAATAATAAATTTACACAACAAGCACATCCTAAACAAAAATCTAACCATTAATAAAGATAACTGCAACTGCCTTAATAAAAACAATTGTCCTTTACACAAAAACTGCTTGACCAACAACATTGTATACCAAGCAACCATCAATTCGGATAACCCTTCAATAAAAAAATCATACATTGGTATTTGTGAAACATCTTTCAAACTGAGATACCCCAAGTATAGAAACGATACAGAGCTGTCAAAGGAGGTTTGGAACTTAAATGATAATGATAAAAATCCTGTGATCAATTGGAAAATAATTAGAAGATGTGAAGCATATAACCTGACAACAAAATCGTGCAAATTATGCCTTAATGAAAAACATGAAATTATTTCAAATAATGACAATAGTTTATTAAATAAAAAGACTGAAATTATATCAAAATGTTGGTATAGAAATAAATTCCTTCTTTGTCAATTCGACACAGCCTAAATGTAACCTTCGTGTAGTCGATGTTTTGACGTCAGATCCCATTGCATTGCTTAATTTGTATTTTAAACGGTTTTTTATTTTTTTGATTTAAAAAAATATATATGGCTGATGATTGCCGCTAGGCATGAAACTCTGAGTACCAATAAAAAGTTGTATTTTTTTCATTTTAATACTAAATAATTATATTAGATCTATTATAAAAATCTTTGTTTTTATAATAATGATCACTTTTAAACGAACAAGAGTTTTTTTGTACATTATCATACAAAAAACATTATTCAAAATATACAATATATATATATATATGTGTATATATATATATATATATATATATATATATATATATATATATATATATATATATATATATATGTATATATATATATATATATATACATATATATATATATATATGTATATATATATATATATATATATATATATATATATATATATATATATATATATATATATATATATATATATATATATGTATATGTATATGTATATATATGTATATTTATGTATACATATGTAAATTGTTAATTCGGTGTTTCTCTTTGTTCTATATCACTATCCTTCATCTCAAGACTGCACTCTTTACAATGTTATTTCTGATCAAATTGGCCAAGATCTTTCTCTTAGCCCTTCAGCCAATATCATTGTACTAGTAACTTAAATACTCATCACACCGAATGGCTCGGCTCTAGTGTAGGTGATTCTGCAGGTGTTAAGGCTTAGAACTTTTGCCTTACTAAATCTGTAACTTAAATTGTCAACTTTCCAACTCGCTTGATCTACCTTCTCTACTCGACTAATGTCTTGTTTCTGATCCTAATCAGTGCTTGATTTCTCCATATATACCCTTAGATGCTTCTGATCACGGTTTGATCTCTCTAAAACTTCTTATTCTTCTTCATCGTCAGAATACTCTTACCATTGTACCTCTTACAACTACTTTTCTTCGATTCAGGCTGGCATGGAATCTTTTATTCTCTCTCAACAATTCCGTGTCAAGCCTTACTCTTCTCCTTAGTTTTCGTTGTGCTGATGCAATTTCCAATCTCAACCATTACTTTCATATCTATCTATCAGCAAATTACTTTCATATTTATCTATCAGCAAAACCATTACTTTCATATCTATCTATTAACAAAACAATTCTCCAGAAAACAGATGTCTATTTACTTTTGCTAGAAACCATTGTAAAAAGGTTTTGTCTAATGCCAAAGCCCGCTATTCTCAGGTCACAAAACCTCGTAATTTATCTGGAAAATTAGGCTCTCACGACTTCAAGAGAATCTTTAGCAGTATCTATAATATAAGCAAATCTGTTATTTCATTTCTCTTGTATGGTTCAGATTTTGTTACCTCACCTAAAGAGAAGGCTGGATTGTTTGCTAAGAACTTATCATCAATACCATCTCTTGATTCCACTAGTCGCGTTATACCTAATATAGCCAACTTCTGTATCCAAAGTAGTTTCCTGCTTAGACTCTTCTACAGCTTGTGGTCCTGACAACATACCTGTTTTAGTTTTGTTCTCTCTGGAGCTGTCATCTATACTTTCAAAACTGTTTAACAAGTGCTTATCAGAGTCTTGTTTTCCATCATGCTGGAAAGCAGCATTTGTTATCCCGTCTTTCAAATACTTTGGAATCGTCTAACTACAGTTAACGCTATTGGGCTCACCATGAGAACTCATTGCTTGGTGTTTTAATAACTAAAATACTTATATTAGGGTTGTTCACTAATAAGCTAAACTTACAAAAATTTCACATTTTTATCTTCTGTAATTAAAATTGCCCTTATGGAAGTTGTACATGCGCAAATTCACCTTCCATAACGCATTTAAAAAACAAATAATAATTCCGTAATAACGCTTCACGAAAAGAAATTTGCAAAAAAAATCATTTCGAAAGAATACTTGCAAAACAGTTCCTAACAGAATGAGCATTTCAGAATGTTTATAAAAAAACATAAACTGTTATGAAAAAAAAAAAAAAATGTTATTATTTAAATAAGAATGTTGTTATCAATTTACATATATATGTATATACATCTTAATTTTCCTCTCTTTGCCCCTGTCGCTACGCCAGCATTTATATATATTTATAAACTACAAGTACCGACTTTTGGTTGCATGTTGCTTTTGGCTTTGCAGAAATTGAGATTTACAATTTATACTCTCATATTTAAAAATCTAGTAAAATATTGGGTTCCATTACAAAATAGTTTTATTTTGTAATTTAACTTCCGAAAGGCTACATTTCATAAGTAGCATTTGCAAAATGAATATCGTTGGTTTTTTTTGTTTCGCAAAATTTGGTAGGAAAAAAACAACATTACTGATTCTCAATATCCTTCTGAAAGAATTTTATTTTTCCTGAATTCTACGAAATCTTCCGGTTAACAACTCTAACTTATATACATGTTTATCTTAATTAAAAATTTTTTATTTTTTTATCAAAAACAACCCTAGCCTTCAAACCCCACTTAACATACAACTTTTAGAATATGGACAAACTACCATATTCATGTAGTAAAAATCAAAAAATTGCAATCCAAATCATTTCGTTTTATAATAACATAATAAATAATAATTGAGTGAAACTATTTCATAATAACACACAAAAATTTATTAAAATGATGTATATTGGAATTTATTAAAACGATAATTGGAATTAATAATGTATATAAAAAATAAATTTAATGAAATAAAAGTGAAATATTTTATGAAAATTAAAACACTTACTTTTCAGCATCATAAAATCTTTCAGCTGGAAGAATCTTTGTTTGGATTTTTTTGGAGGTATTTTTTTGCATAAGTATTAAAGAAGATTGTGCAAGAGATAGCTGCTCTTCATCATGATAAAAGATGGCTGACATATATTGTGTTTTATTCACAGCAGTTGAATCGTGATACTTCCAAAACATATCTAACAGTGCACTATAGTTTGTTTCAGATGGATCATATTGAATTTCCATTGTCTCGGTATGATCACCACTAAATTAAAAACAACAATAAAAATTTTGAATAAAAAATTTTAAAACTTAATATGCTTTATTAATAATTGACTCAAAATTTTAATTAGAAGTTATTGAGATTATGATACATAAGCAAATAAAGATTATTAGAGTATCATTAGTAATCATCATCATCATCATCATCATCATCATCATCATCATCATCATCATCATCATCATCATCATCATCATCATCATCATCATCATCATCATTATCATTATCATCATCATCATCATCATCATCATCATCATCATCATCATCATCATCATCATATATTATCAGTACTATTTCTTTATCTATCTCAGCAATCAAGCATTAATTATCTGTATAGAATAGCACCCATGATAAAAGAACACTGAATTCTTCAGAGAGCTTCCAAAACAATAATAAAAGCAAAGGACTTAGCAATGAATATTAATGAAGCCTAACTTTAATACTATAGCTCTCTAAATATAATGTTTTGACATTTTTACACATTAGCCGTAATAACTGTTATAAACCCTCTTTCAACACTTTAATAATATAAGGTCAACTCCACTACCTCTTTTGGTAATCTGTCAAAAGCTTTTTTAAGGTACACAAATGCAATCGCTTAAAATAATGTTAGTCTAAAAGAATTCATACATGCGGATTAAAACAGCTTTTATTAAAAAGAAAGATTTAATAAGCTCAAAATAACTTTAGATGTTTAATTTTTTTGTATATTTAGCTTTTGTTTTTACTTGTTAAAATTTTTTATATAATTTAATTAAACTTTTATAAAAAAATTAATTAAACATAAGAAAATTTTAATTTAAAAAGATTTTTGTAATTTATCACCTCTGATCTTTACAATAGGCAGATTTTTTTTAATTTTTATTACTAATTTTGAGTGATACTTATGTAAACTAAAGACATTTTAAGAAGAGATAGAAAAGTATAGAAAATTAGTGTAGCTGTATATGCATACAAAACATGCAATGATGATATGAAGTTTAATCTAGCACAATAGTTTATTTTTAGCACAGAAAAATTAAAATAATTGAAACTGAATATTTAATAGTAGAAACCCACCATTTTATAAATTGCCATTTTAAAAATTACTAGTAATAATTTTTAGATAACGTTGCTGCAAAGCAAAACTATCCATTTTTGTCCATTTTTGACAAAATTGACTATTGTGGTTTAAAATACTGAACAAAAGTCATCTCACAAAGTATGGAACTGAAATTGATTTAAATTTTGCAACTACGAGTAAAATTTAAATATCTTATGCACTAAAAAAAATAATTGAGAGACATTGTTGTTGCAAAATAAAACTGCAAAATAAATCATAAGCCCATTTTTTGGCAAAAAAAAAAACTTTTTTGGTTTCAAATACTTAATACATATAATAAATAACTGAAAACAAGTAGATTTAATCAAAAAAATCAAAAACAGTGATTAAATTTAAAACTTTAAATGTTTTTTTCTCAGAGCAACCTAAACAGACTTAAGATGGCCTTGTTTTGCAGCAGCAATTTAATTTGTAGAATTTTGTCATATTTGATATAGTTTCAAAATTATCTTAAGCACATTTGCATTGTTGCTTCTCATAAAGCTTTTTAAAATTTTGTATTTGTTATATTATCAAAAATAATAACATATTCTATAAGTATTTTAAAAACAACTTGGTTGAATTAAGAAGATCAAATGCAGTGATGAATTAAAAACTTTAAATGCCTTTTTCTCAGAACAGCAAAAATGGACTTAAAATAGTCTTGTTTTGCAGCGACGATAAGTTGATAGAAAGAACGCACTATTAAAATTTAGTTTACTTCAAAGCAATTACTTCACAAATGGTGGCAAATTTTAAAGAGATTTTTTTAAAAGATCTAATAATAAAAAAAAAAAACGAAAAAGTAAAACGAAAAAATCGTTCGTAAAAAATCAAGATATATTGTCATATATAATATGCATCAACAAAATTAATTAAAAGAATTTTTAGGGAAATTTGTGGAACTTTATGATCCCTAACTGATAACTCCCACAATGCACTGTTAACTCTCACAATGCACAAGATCTTGATGCTTGGTACAAACATTTTTTGATATTCTGTCAAAAAATAGAACTTTTTCTGTTATTAACAATTTTTCTATTTTGAGGAAGTATTAAACTACAAAAATATTTGAATAGTTTCAGTTATGCTTAAGCATAAATTTTGATTATAATTTTTTTATTCACAAAATATTTTGTGGATAAGCATCAATAATTTTTAACTCAACATTTTTTAAGTAAAAATTTAAAATTTGTAAGTAAAAAAATTTCAAAGAATTGTGTTAAATTACATTCTAAAATTAAAAGTAAAATTGTTTTTTTTTTTTTGCAACATTTGACATTGAAGGAAAAATTTATTGGAGTATTTAACTTCATTAACAATATATGCTTCATTAACTTCATTAACAATATATGCTTCATTAACAATATATGCTTCATTAACTTCATTAACAATATTTTCGGTAGATTTGATAATATTATTATTTTTTTTTATAAAAAGTCAAAATTATGAAAACACTTACAGATTATGGTAAGTTGGGAACGGATGTTTTCCGCCAGTATATCCAACTTTGGTTGTTACAACACCGGGGGCACAACCAAACTGTGCCTCCGGAAACCAAAATCATGCCATAGCAAAAGTTGCTTTTCTAAAATAAGAACTTTATTGTTTGAAATTTTTTTAATAAAAGTAAAGTAAAAGTTGAAAATAAATAAAAAATAATATCAAACTAAAAATTTATATTAGTAATTTTGACTTTTTTTTACCTTTTTGTACAACAATTTGCATATAAATAATTTATGTCATTTTAATTGTTTTCAAATTCATAGCAAACAATTATTATAATAAAATATGAACGTCTGATTTTTTAAAAATATTTTTTACTTATTTACTAACTAAAAAATTTGTATATTGAAGACATGCATTATTATAACAAAAATGAAGGTGTGCCATTTTTATAATTTTTCAACAAAAAACTGTATAAACAAATACAACACAATTTGAACAACTTTTAAGAATATAAATCAGGCTTATGGAGATAGAGCCGGGGAGCCGCTGTTTTTTGGTTGAGCCGCAAAAATCGAGCAGTTCTCGGCTCTCGTGTTTTTTTTTTTTAATTTTAATTTAATTTTTTTTTATTACTATAGACAAACTTTGATAATTTATTGTTTGACTGATTTGTTAAATGAATTATTTATTGGCTCTATTTTTTTAAAACATTTTTTCTTACAGTTACGGTCTTTCCAAAACGTAATAAAAATGAATATTTTAACAATTTTGTGCTCAACAAAATACTATCCTTTAATAGTATTTTTTAATATACTTTATTGAAAAAAAAGTAAATTCTTTATGAAAACATTACAGTATTGCATAAATTGCTTTATATTGTATTTTTATACTCATACATTAATTTTAAATATTTGAGGCGCGATTTAATGATCAAAAGTTATTCTTATCTTTTAAATTATACTAAAGCATAAGATCGTTAAATTTGGAACAACAAATTTTGTTTTAAAACTTGTCACTAACACATCACTAAATTTTTTCTGCGTAATTTAAATAATTAAAGTATTAATTAAAAACATCAACAAACAAGTCAAAATGTTTCTATTAATTAAAATGTCGTTGAAACGTTTAGAAAAACGAAAAAAATTATGCACAACTATCTATAAAACCCTTTAAGGATAAGAAAGCAGCAATTAGTATTCGACAATCATTCACGTAAAATCCTGACTTATTGAACAGAGAACAATCCAAAATGTATAAAGTTTGAGAGTTTTTTAAAGATTAAATTTTGGCAAGCAATATGCAGCTGTGGTTTGAGATCTTGATCTTTTGTCATATTGTCAACTTTAAACTCAGATAATTACATCAAAGAATACTTGCAAGCTAGACTTTTGTAATTTTATTGAAGTCATGATGTCCCCTGTTGATTCTGGCATAATCTTGCTTCTTGTCATTATTCTAAGAAAAGTGGTACAATTCAAGAGACATCAAATTCATACCAAAAAGCTTGAATACTTCACTTCACATAGTTCTATCCCATTGAAAAATTTGGGGGGAATTGGCAAAGGATATTTGCATAAGACTGGCAAAACAATAAATACAGCTAAAGATTAGATTAGAGAGTGGACATTAGTAGGAAAAAAATTGTCAAAGACACTGTGCAAAAGTTGATGTCATTGATTAGCATAAATGTTTGCTTATTTATATGAAATTATGAAAAATATTAAAATAAAAAGCACTTTTATAATCTTCAAGTTCCTTAGATTAAAATAAATATTTCTTTATAGTTTTTGCTTTGGTTGAATTATTTTTCATTTTTTTGAATTTTTTTGTTGTTTTGAATTTATTGATCGAATGTTTTACCAAGTGGGCATGGGACATACAAAAGAGGTCTTTTAAACGTCTTTGGATCGTTTTGAATGTTCAAAATGCATCTTTTTTAGGACCCATGCCCACTGGGTATCCAGTGGGCACGGAACTCAGTGAGGGCGTAAGAAAGACGTCTTTTAAACATCTTTTGAATATTTTTGATGTCTTTTGAACGTTTTGGACGTCTTCGAGACTATTTAATAGTAGAAGACATCTTATTTAGGTACCGCACCTCTGGGTAGAGTTAAAAATAAAATTTGAACTAAAAAATCTAGTTTTGGTTAAATAATACATAGAAAAAAGTGTTTATTTACCCAAAATATTTTTCTTTTCAAATATAATATTTGGTATAGTAGTGATAGTAATACAACAACCTTGTAATCATGAGAGTTAGTAAAAAATTAATTGCTGTAATTTGTATAGTTTTGCAAGCCTTCCCAGGAAAGGCGTGCGGTTTTTTTTCTCGTATGACCACACGCGATTACACTATTTTAGAAAACGTGAACACGGCCGTTTGCAAGTTTTATAATAATGCTGAAAAAGTTTCAAAAACAAAAAAAAAACTAACAAAAGAAAAATTTTAGTTTATACAAAACTGTGTTCCTTGTTATTAAGGGGAGAATCAACTTTAATTTGTTAGCGAAAAAATAAAAAATAAAACAATAAACTTACGATTACAAAAGTAATAACACTATAATAGTGTTATTATTTTTATAATGCACTTATAACTTTTAAAATTCATTCTTTGTTCAAGCAACATTAGTATTCCCAAATTTTAATTGAAGTAGAAAAATATCTAAAAGAATAAAGTAGATGTTCAAATAATATTAAAACTAAAGTAACTTATAAAAACGTGACAAACAACTTTGTGAAAACGTATCGTATTAAAAGTTTAGCCTTATGAAAAACATTACTAATGGACCGTAAAAACGCGCGTTAATTTTAAAATTAACCAATAAAAATTTTTATTGGCTTTTCATAATGCTATACTTTTCAAGTACTTTTTTATAACATTGTTTAAGTGATATGTGAAAGTTCCTGAAATTTTTAATAATATTTGAATATCCGCTTTATTCTTTCTAGATGCTTTTCTACTTTAATAAATGTTTGGAATTAATAGTGCTGTTTGAACAAAGAATGAACTTTAAAAGTAATAAGTGCTTTATAAATGTAATAACACTATTATAGTTTTATTACTTTTATAATGCAGTTAGTGACTAAAGTTTTATTACTTTTGTAGTCATAAGTTTATTGTTTTTGTTTTGTTTTTTGTAACTTTCTTGCTAGCAAACTTTTAATAATTTGTTCCTTATAAACAAAGTACACAGCTTTGCATCAACTAAAATTTTAAAGACCTAATATTTTACCAGAGATTGTAAATTGCGATCGTATAATTTAACTCTTGATATAAACTTGTTACATTATAATTATACAAATATATTTTACAAACAAATGACAATACATATTTTATCTTTCCTCTTTAAAAGAAAAAACACATAAAATATGGGAAAATCATCCTTTTAAACGCCTAAACTGTTTGTTTTTTTTTTTTTTTTTTTGCTTTGACTTAATGAATTTTTTTGTCGATAATAATAACCACTGAGAAAAAACAAAAATAAAAACGACACACAAATTATTTAAACTATTATTATTCTTTTCTATTTAAGATCACTTTAATTTAATAAGTAGTAATTAAGTTTAAAACAATTTTTCAGCAACGCATATAATAAAACTTGCGCAAACAGCCGTGATCACGTTCTTTAACTTGAAAAACGTTTTCTTGGTCGTACGAGACGAAAAACCGCACGCCTTTTCTGGGAAGGCTTGTTTTGGGTAAGCAAATGTGATCAAAAAAAATATTTTAAAACTTGAAATTTTTGTTTATAAAGTTTGGGAGCCGGAGCCTAGCTGGAGCCAGATATTTTTTAGGAACTGAAGCTGAGCTGTAAAAAAAACAGTCGGCTCCACAAGCCTGATATAAATGAAAACCTTTAATAAAAGGTTTGTGTACAGACCTTTTACATATTTTATTATGTTAAAAGAAGTCATTTTTGATTATGATACAAAATTTATAAAAAAACAATCACAAAATAAAATCTTGGGGTATACTTCCAAACTATTTGATTTTATTTCTTGTCATGCAAAAGACTTTGGCATGCAATTGTTGATTGCATAAAATTTGTTGATTACTATACCATGTTGCAAGGAAATAAGCAATTTTTTTAATAAACCTTTATATCAAATTTTGCAGAATATTAATCAGTAATCAACACAGTTAAATGCTTTATTGAGATCTAAAAAACATGCAAATGCAAGACTTTTGATAGAATATAGTAGTATGCAGTTTTTTCAAATAATTAGTACATGCATGCTGTTGAGTGTTTTCAAATAATTAGTGCATGCATGAATACATCCATGCAAAAAAAAAAAAAACTTTATTTAAAAGCGTTTATTGTAGTGTAAAAACATTAGAAAGTTTAGATGGCATAACAAACAAAAAAATAACTTTGCTATGTTTTCAACTATTAAATTTATGGATTTATCAAAAAGCTTATGGAAACAACTGTTATTATTGTTGTTTATAAAATGAATTGTATATATTGTTTTAAAAACATTTACATTCACTGTAAAAAATACATTTTTCAACTAAATAATATCTTTTGGTTATTTAAGTAACATGTTTTTTATAATAAAAAATAAGTAATAGTGTTTGGTCGCACAACTTTCCTGCCCACCACTGGGCTACACAGGTCACTAGGCAAACAATTGTCATTATTGCGACTTAAAGTGTCACATGTGGAAGAATAGGAAACTGAAGAAATTAAAAGTGGAACAAGTTGAAATTAGTGAGGGATCAGCAAAGGGAAACACTAATGTAAGTAATTTTTTAGCCTTGTATTAAAAAGGTAAGGAATCTGAGAGGGTAAATAGACCAGCTATGATAAATGTAAAAATCTAAAGAGGTTTGCATGGAAGTTGATATAGGGGCTGCTATTTCCATAGTAGGTGTTTCAGCTTATAGAAGAGTAAAAAAAAAACAAAGGAAGGTTAAGAAGGTCTGAAGTGGTTAAACAGAAAGACTTATACAGAAGAGCTTGTTAGACTAGAATAGGGTTTGTTGAAGTAGTTTATGAAAGACACTGTTGCAGTTTTCTTATAACTGTAGTTAAGAAAAATATACCTACATTAATGGAAAAAATTGGATTCAGAGACTAAACCTGGAATGGGTGAAATTGTGTAAAAGAATGTAAAAATTCAGCTTTTGCAACAGGTTTAATTCAAGGGTAGAGGCTTTAGTGGCAAAATTTCCAGTGGAGTTTAGTATAGTAGGATACTTAAAAGACTTCAAATGTCACATATCTATATATGAGGTTTTCAAACCAAGACCACTACCATATGCTTTGATGATTAGGATAGAACAAGAGCTTGGAAGACCAAGGGACTAGGAGAAAGTATTCAAAATGTATTTAAGTATTCCAGTGTTCAAAATGTAATCAAGTATGTCCATTATTCAAAATGGCCAGCACCTATAGTGCCTGTTCTAAAGAACTCAAAAGAACCTATGGATCCATTACATATATGTGGGGATTATGAAATTATAATAAACCAAGAGGTCTTTCTGGATATCTATCAAATACTAAACACCACTGATTGGGTAGCCACTATCGCAGGAGGACAGAAATACAACAAGTTTGATTTGTCCCAAGCATATCAGTAACTTGAGCTAGATGAAAATTCACAAGAGTTTTTAACAATAAATACATGTCAAGGTTTATAAAAGCCAACTCGTCTTCCGTTTGTGGTTCACAGGCTTGGTTGGGAAGCGGTGCGATCGCACTCGATAATTGACCACAGAAATAATATTTAGTTGCGAAAAACCAACCAGATTTTTTAGTTGTTTAGAGAACATTTCAAAAACAAACAAAAAAACGCAATAAGATTTTCTGGACTAAAAATAATAGACATTTAGGCATTTTCTGGACTGATATTGAGAGACAGTTAAAAAAAGAAAAATAGCTTTTAACGCGAAAAAACTTAAAGCAAAATAATTTTATTAGAGCAATTATTTTTGAAACGTTGCTCTTTTATATTTTTTTTTTATAAAACTAAGCGACATTTTTTATATAAAGTTAAACAAATTATATATTATAAACTATAAAGAAACGAATGTTCTTCGATTTATTAAAAAGTATATAATTTTTATTTATATACTTATGTCTTATTGAGGAAAATGGATTAAATGGTTGTAGTAACTTTGACCATTATTAATAATTTCATTGAAAACGCAGTTATTATTGAAAGTATTTTTGTTTACAAAATCAATCGCACAAATTGCTTTAAAAGGTTACATTTAAATAAAATACATATACATAAAATTACATAGATAAAAATACATTACACACATAAAAATACATTACATACATAAAAAATACATCCTATATATATATATAAAAAAATAAGAATATACTAATAAAATCTATAATACATTTACAAAACAATGAAAAGTTGAAAAATATAAATTTAAAACATTATTGTAAACAAATAATGTTAGTTTAAAACATTTATAACTTTGTAGATGTGACTCCAAGAATTAAAATAATACTTCATTTGATAGTATATTCTTAAAATAATTTATGCTAGAAATCTCAACGAAAAACGTAATAAAATTCAAATAATACAATTTTTAAAAATATTTCAATAGAATACTCAGGACATTCGGTTAGTATTTTTTGAATACTCTAGAAATCTGTGCTTTGAGTCAAGTTCCTAAGTGTCAAAAACTTTAAAATACAAAAAACTATTGTCATCACTAAGTTCTATATATCAATCACTAATATTTGTGGCCTTTAAAGTAACTTTCTGTTGAGTCTTATCTCTTGCAAAGTTTACTAGACTTACTTGCTCTTAAGACTAATTTGAGCTCAGTTTTTTCATTTTGTGATCTTAGAATTGATGGTTGTCTTTTTTTAATTCATAAATACTCCAATAGTTGGGCTGGGCATTGATATTCAAAAAGATTCACCCATTAGTAGGAAAAATAGGCTTGAATCCACAAATTATTCTTTCATGTGCTTTCATTTAGCAGCACTTCATTATCACCTTTTTCTTTGTCCTATATCGCTCTCCTTCATCTCAAGACTGCGCTCTTTTCGATGTCATTTTTGATCAAAATGACTAAAAATGCTTTTTAGGTAACTACTTGGATTCAGGTAGGAATCTTTTATTCTTTTTCGACAATTCCAAGTTAAGCCTCACTCTATTGCCAAAATAATTCTCTAGAAAACAGACATGCTTATTATTGTTAGAAACCATTGTAAAAAGGTTTTGTCCAACACCAAATCCAGCCATTCTCAGGTCATAAAATCTCGTTTTTCATCTAAAAAATTAGGCTTAACAAATTTCTGGAGAATCTTTAACAGTGTCTATGACAATGGCAAATCTGTTATTCCACCTCTCTTGTATGGTTCAGATTTCATCTCCTTCACCTAAAGACAAAGCTGAATTGCTTGCTAAGAACTTCTTTCTGTTTGTTTGGAGGGGCCATTTGAGCTTGAAAAGGACCTTACTTCTGCTAAAGCATAGAGCCATCAGTGGATGGTGATCTTTAACTCAGATAAAACTAAATTTATTTCAGCTAATCGTTATTGCAACAATCTAGATCTTCTATATTTATGAACAGTAATGTACTCGATGAGTCATCTACCCTTCATCTTCTTGGATTAATTCTTACTTCTCATCTTCCTTGGAAACAATATATCAAATCAATTGCAAAATTACCAACTTCTATGCATGTCTTTATCAAGCTCACCACTTTCTTACTCAGGATTCTATTCTATATCACTATAAACCTCAAATCAATCCTGTAATATGAAATACTGTTGCCATATCTGGAGCGAATTTTCAAATGATGCACTTTCTCTTTTAGACAAGTTGCAAAAATGCATTGTAAACAAAGTTAAACCTGCTCAGCAGACAACCTTTACCCATTGTCACAATGTCCTTATGTTGCTTCTCTTTCTCTTTTCTATAAACACTATAATGGGTACTGCTCTAAAGAGCTAGTGTCTTTTGTGCATCCACTAAAATTCATTCTTGTGTTACTCATCATTCAATTAAGTCTTATCCTTTTATTGTGACTGTTCCAAAAATTCTTATTTGTCTAGTTTTTTTCTCGAACATCAGTTCTTTGGAATTCGCTTCCTTCTTATTTTTTTGATTTATATATAATTTGCAATCATTTAAGTCGTCTGCTAATCATTATTTTGCTTTATAAACTTTATCTTTCTTCTTACAGTAAATTCGAACTCTAATAGTGGTTGCTTGCAGCCTCATTGAAAATGATGATTTAAAAAGAAAAATAAAACAAAACAAAAAAAAAACAGAAGATGACATAAATAACTCTTTGCCAAACAATCAAATGCTTAAAACAACTGAAATGTCAGTCCCATATGAAAACATGCATAATGAGTGCGACCTAATTAACAAGGATATTGATCCTAAAAGAGTATGTAAGCAGTCAGTAAGTAAAGATGTTAGTCCCAAGAGATCACGTGAACAACTCAGACCATTTTCTAAGCCTATTACTACAAAAAACTGAAGGTCAAGTTAAACCTGTCATAAACCAGCATATTTAGTACAGTTTGAATGATTTATGGGTGAAGGATTGTTGTAACTGCTTAATCCAGTCCCCGGAAAAGTATGTGCATACATTGTTTTTGTGAGTTTGGCATGCAGCTCTTGAGTGACAATCATAAGAAGTATTTGCTGTTATTTTTATAGATTTATTTTATGGTTATTACAATTAATGGTTACTATAATAATTATTTTTTTTGAAGTTGTAGTATTCCTTATTAACTGTAGTTATAACAGAATATATCTAGAAAAATAAACTTCATGTCAAAGTAAAATAACTCACAGAATAAAAGTGGTTAGAATTCTAGCTCAGTACCAAAAGGTCCGAGGCTCAAAACTAGCACTAACCCAATAAGTGATTGGTTAGAAAAGATGCATAAATTTTCTAATTAAAAGCTCTTCCGCTGTGCTCTGTGGTAAGACCATAGACTGTGGTAGGACTTTCTGGGAGCACCTTAATAACCAAAATAATATGCATTATAAACTATATGAACAATACAAAGAAATTTCAAATAGCCTATCTAAAATTTGCTTTGTTTAGACAAGGTGCATTTTTCCAGGTGCAAGTTGTACACATTCTGTTAGTAATTGTACTAATCAAAAATATGCCATATTGCAAGTGGATGCCATAAACATTAGTGAAAAAAAAATAAAGATATACATTTAAAAACTATTTGCTGGGTAGTGACCAGGGACGTGGTGGTCCATGCAGGATTCTTACATAGGCCTTTCACTTTATATCTAAATATGGACCTTTTAACAAATTTTACTTTTTTCTATATTCTAAAGAAAATCCACAAATATTTTTAAATTTACTATATTTATGTTTGTAATGCATAAACAATTTTGGTGTCTTTTTTGATATTTAAGAAAAAAAGCTCATGGAAAAAACAAAATTGATTACGTTTTAGTAATAGTTTTTCAAGCTTCACACTGTAGTGTTTTGAATCATATCATAAATACATCAGAAAAACAATTATCATCAATGGTTGTTTTCTGATATTTATTTATTTTAGCATCATAATGTGTTCTTGAAAAACGTATAAATTTTGAAAGTTTTAACCTATATTTAAATGATAAAAAACATATGTTAATTATAAATGTTATACAATGTCTTTGTAGTTATAAAATATTTAAAAAAGTTATTATTAATACAATCACTTCTAAGACATAATATATAAAATAAATGAAACAAGTACTTGAAGGTAAATGATAATTAACATAACCTATTTTAAAAATATTAAACGTTTTAGGTGAAAAATAATATCAGGTTAATAATAAAGATAAATAGTAAAATTAGAAATACAATAATATGATAATAAAAGTATAAGTAAAAATTTAAAATTCACCATAATTTTTTAAACAGATTTATATAACAATCTATTTATTAAAGGTACCTTAACTGAATTAAACTTGTATCTTCTGCTGTCATAGTTAAAGAAGAAGAATTAAAAATAGAAAATGATTTTTTTATACTTCTCCCTAAAGAGATAAACATGGACACCTTAAACATTAGATATAAGAAATTTCGACACAGGATGGTTTGTTAACTTATATAACGTAACGGAACTTCTAAATATTATATAACGTATCTTTATTTTTTCTTTAATAATAACTAGTTCCAATCGTTAAACTAATCTTGAACTTAATCTAAAATTTTATAAGTCTGAGAATTCTGAGCACGATTTAAAAGTCAACAGTTAAATGCTTACATCAAAAATCACAACCGGATCTCACTTAATGTAACCGGAGCTCATCAAGTACCTGTTACCATTAGTACTAAAAGCAGTAGTTTCGTAGTAGTAAAGTATAAGTTCCGATTGAAACTCTTCCCTGAGTATATTATATTATTGTTGATGATTTGGAGTTATGATGTTGAGCTATAATGTAAAGGTTGTGCCAAACATTAAACAATAAAAAAATTAATAAACTTATTGACTGGATTGACCTCTTAGATTTTGGAGAGGCAAATAAATAAAGATGATATGGCAGTTTAAAAGAAAAAAAAAAATTCTATTTACTAAATAAATAATTTATAAAATATCTTCGATTTACAAAATATCTTCACTGTTAGTTGACTAACGGAGCTGATCATCAACCATTTGTTAGAATAAAAAACACTGGCCATAAGTCGAATAAAACCATTTTGCACTTTTTTTTTTTAATAACTTTACAAAAAAAAATGATGTTGATGTGTCGATACTGATGGGCAAATATTATTTGAGCAGGTTACTTTGTTGTGAAGCAAGGTTTACTTTAGGGCCGACTTCTTTTTTCTAAATATATTCGCTCTGTGAAAATAAATATTCAAGTTCTGTGAAAATAAATTAACAATAAAAAAACTTTATGAGGAATGCGGTTAAATCATTTTTTAATGTCTCCAAGTATAGTAAAAATTACATACACTTTCTATTATTTGAATGCAGCAAAATATAGTAAACCTATTTATTTGTCTTTTAAACAATAAAATAACTTTTAATTACCAGTTTTAATTTAAACGATTAATTACCAGTTAAATTATTGTTCAGTTAAATACAACTTTTTGGATGTTATAAAGGAATTATACAATATTCATTAAATTGAATACAAAAAACTCAATGCTGGTTAAAAAGAAAGTTAAAATTAGAGAAAAATGTAGTTCCCAAAGATTATCTTCAATTTTTGTTACAAGCTGATCAATGCTGGAAGCTATAGCAAACAATTAAAAAAAAAATCTTTATAAAAATAAACAAACAGATTCGATTTATCTTCAATTTTCTGTTCTATAGTTAACGAAGTTTTATCGCCATAAATAGGAGTGGGTTTTAGACTTTCAAATGGTTTTGTATTTCAGCCCCTAATTCAACAGGAGCATGTTGTTTAGTAGAAACCTTAGTTTCTTGAAGATTAGATAATTCTTATATAGAATTACATATGCATAGTGAGGGTTTGCTTCATCTTTGAAGCTTCCTTTATAGAACCTTTATATTTACTTTGGATCACAATTTCATTATTAATACAGGTCCTAGGTCAATTAGCCATGAACAATTCCTTCATGGCTAATTAACTTTGGACCTGTATCAATGAAAACTGCACTCCAAAGTAAATATAAAGATTCTGTAAAGGAGATTTTTTTTAAACAATAATATGTTTAAACGATTATTAAGAATTGTAGTCACTAACTACATAAGAACTGCTTCCAATTCCTTTGCATTCAGTTAATTTCATGGGCGTTAAATTAACAATTCTTAAAGACAATCCACAATTTGACATCGTTTTCTTAGTCATTTAAATTGCTGTAAACTTTGTTTGTTTGTCAGTTTTTCAACAAACAATTGACGCAGTATTTTTGGGAGCTTAGGTTGGTAAATAAGGCGGATGTGGGAGCAGTTTACATTCCTTATTGGCGATTGATTTAACAACTTTATGTGGTTCTGTTTTCGTAATTGCTTTACTAAGATAAACGTTGCTGATAATGTTAAACAACCGCTTGCCTTATTTGTTTAGAATCCTTCATGAACTTTTGTTCGGAAAGGCCTTCATCATTGTCATCCTACCTCTAACAAATAATGTTTGGGATGATTCCATTGTGGGCGATTCCTTTTAAGAAGTGGATGATTCAGCTTCTTTTTAACCATACACTGCATAGCATTCTTACAGTGAACACATTTTTAACCATACACTGCATTCTTACAGTGAACACATTTTTAACTATACACTGCATAGCATTCTTACAGTGAACACATTTTTAACCATACACTGCATTCTTACAGTGAACACATTTTTAACCATACACTGCATAACATTCTTACAGTGAACACATTTTTAACCATACACTGTATTCTTACAGTAAACACATTTTTAACCATACACTGAATAACATTCTTACAGTCAACACATTTTGATTTCTCTTTTGGAGAAACACCCGGCAACTCGTAAACCTACTTTTTTTTGATGTTTATGAATTACGTGACAAAATTTTTCAGGAACGAAGCTTGCTTTATTGCTGTTGGAGAGCTTGTGGGGTTCTATCTACATCTTTTTGTGCTATTTTAGACGACGGACGAATGTCAACGACTAGTTGGTATTGAATCTTATAATTTAAAATATCTGATCAAAGTAGGTTATATTGGATAGAGCCAGGGCCGGTCTTAGGCCGATTTGACTGATTGCTCCAAATAGGGCCCCGCACTTGGTAGGGGCCCCGCAATTTATAGCATATCATTATAAATGGCAGTAATTTTTTTTTTATAAATTTCTATCAATCTTAATATAATTCGTTTAATGCGCATGGTAACGTCAATTGTTATTTTTAGTTTATCTTAGTTATTGCGGTATATGGTATAAAATATATTAGTTTCCAATCTACTTTCGAAAGTTCCAGAAGTACTTATTTCCGAAAATTCAATGAACATGGCGGCAGCTTTTTTATTGTTGTATTTACCTTTGAAATGTTTATAATATATTTTTTGTTTGTTTATGCTATAATTATTTTTCATTTTGTTTACTATTAGTTTTATTTAGTTTTGTATAACGCAAACTTTTCTCGCTTTTCAGTAAATATTTTATATTTAAAGACAATATAAATTTTATTGGATAATTTTAAGAGTACTTTTTTTCAAGTCTAATAAATAATCTTAATATTAAATGTTTGTTTATTTATATTAAGGTATTTGCAGTAATCAATTGCTTACATTTGTTAATTTTACTTTTAATTTTGTAAGGGGGATTTTTTATTTATTTTAGTTTAATTAAACCATTTTATTTTATTGTGCAATTTAGTAGTAAAAAAAGAGATAAGTTTTTAGTTTTGAAGAACACAAGCCAAAATATGAGTAAAAGACAAAGGGACGTCGGTAGAAAATATCTAAGTGGTAACATGAAGAGAACCTTAGCTAAGGTAAAGAAAACTGAAGCAGACAAAGAAAAAGGTGCGTTAGATAAATATTTGAGTAAATCAGTAGATCTGTTTGAAACTGAAAAATCAGACAAACAAGTCGAGTCAGACGACAGTGAAACAAATATTTCTAAAGAAGTTACATCAGAAGCTAGTAGTAGTTTTCTTTCTGGATGTAATGCTCAACAAAATACATCTGAATTATGTATAAATATATCTGTTAACACACACAAGGATAATGAGGATATTTCAGAATCAAGAGAAGAAAATTCAATCCCTGCACTATGTGATATTTTAAAGATAAAAGATGACCCTGCTACATGGCCAAATAAAATAAATCAAAATGTCAGAGATTATTTAGTGAACGAAGGACCCCCTAAGATCACTGTAGAAACTTTTCCGCAAAATGAAAAAGGGTTACATTTTTCGGAATTTCACTGTAAAAGAAAATTAAAAAATGGGGAAGTTATAGAACAACCATGGCTAATATATTCTGAGTCATTTGATAAAGTTTACTGTTACTATTGCAAACTTTTTGACACAAATTCTGATTCTGCACTTGGTACTTCTGGATTTGACAGCTGGTCAAATATTCATACAAGATTAGAGGATCATGAAAAATCAAAAAAACATTTGCAATGTACACTTAATTGCTATGAACTGCAGCAAAGGTTATCTACTGGATTAACTGTTGATACATTAAATGAAAAATTAATAAGACAGGAAACAAAACGCTGGAATCAAGTCGTTGAGCGACTTGTTGCTTCTGTACAGTTTTTGGCAGAAAGGAACTTGGCATTTCGTGGGTCTGAAGAACAAATTGGAAATCCACATAATGGCAATTTTCTAGGCGTCATTGAATTGCTAGGAAAATTTGATCCAGTTATGCAAGATCATATACAGAAAATTATTAACAAAGACATTCATGATCATTATTTAGGCAAGACCATACAAAATGAAATTATTGATATACTATAGGCCAAGCTGTTCCACAGGAAATTATTGCTAGAATTAAGTCGACAAAGTATTTTGCAGTGATTCTTGACTGCACTCCTGATATCAGCCATCAGGAACAGATGTCAATGGTGCTAAGATATGTCGCTGATGGCACACACTTAGATGTCCCAGCAGGAATTTATGAACATTTTATAAAGTTTATTATAGTTGAGAGCAGCACTGGTGAAAATTTATTTAACACTCTTGTGAAAGAAATTGAAATGCTAGGACTAGATGTTGAAAACATCAGAGGACAAGGGTATGACAATGAAGCTAATATGAAAGGGCACAATTCTGGAGTGCAAGCACGACTTTTGGAAAGAAATTCACGAGCTTTCTATACTCCTTGTGTGTGCCATAATTATAATCTTGTTCTAGGAGATATGGCTAAAACGTGTTCAGATGCCATGACATTTTTTGGAACCCTGCAGCGTATTTACACCCTTTTTGCTTCATCTACAAAAAGATGGACTGTTTTTAAAAAGCATGTGAAAGGCCTGTCTGTTAAACCATTATCAGAAACAAGATGGGAATGTAGAATGGAAAGTGTTAAAGCTGTACGATTTCAAGCCGCAGAAGTGTGTGATGCTTTAGAAGAACTAGCAAAAAGCACAAATGATGCTCAAGGGAAAAGTGAGGCTGAATCATTAGTAAGCCAAATGACAAATTATAGGTTTCTGGTTGCACTATGTTTTTGGCACTCTTTATTGTTTCAAGTAAATTTTACCAGCAAGGAACTTCAAAGCAATACCATAGACATTGCCGCGGGGCTGACATCTTTTGAAAAATTGTTTGTTGGTTGAAGACATACCGAGAGACAGGCTTTGTAGCTGCATTGATTGATGCCAAAGAGCTTGCAAATGAGTTAGAAGTTGAACCCATATTTCAACAGAAGCGTTGTTACAAGAAAAATAAAATGTTTTTTTATGAATTTTCTGATGAACCAATTTTAGACCCCAAGACAGAATTCCGGGTAAATTTTTTCAATCAAGTTTTAGACAAAGCATTGCAATCTCTTCAACCACGGTTTATGCAGCTGAAAGAACACCATAAACTTTTTGGATTTCTATATAATTTTCAGAATATGTCTAAAGAAGATCTCAGAAAACATTCAGCCGACCTAGAAATTGCTTTGACAGACATTACAAAAGATATAGAAGGGTTCATGCTTTCCGAAGAAATGGAGGCAATTAAGCCAATACTGCCCGTTCAACAACAAAAACCCAAAGAACTCTTTAAATATTTGGCTTGTAATGATAGGTCGACTGCATTTCCAAATTTGTTCATAGCCCTAAAAATACTGATGACAATTCCAGTTACAGTCGCTTCCGGTGAAAGAAGTTTTTCAAAGCTAAAATTAATTAAAACCTACCTTAGGTCAGTAATTAACCAAGAACGACTAAACAATTTGGCACTAATATCAATTGAATCTCCTATAAGTAGAGAAATTAATTATGAAAAAATTCTAAAAGATTTCGCAAGCAAAAAAGCAAGAAAGATCCACTTTGACTTATAGATTATTTGTTTATTATGACAATAACAAGAACTGTTTTGTTTAAATTCATTGTAATATTTTTATTATTGTTTATTGATTCGTTTGTGGAGTTATGTTTTTTTGTATAATAAATGTGTTTCAATAATTTTATTAATAGTAGTTATTGTATTGAATGCTCTATCATAGAGCATTCAATATAACCTACATTGATCAAGATGTTTTAAATTATAAGATATAAGATAAGTTATAAGATATGAGATAAATTATACGCTATGAGATAAATTATAAGATATGAGTTAAATTATAAGATATGAAATAAATTATAAGATGTGAGATAAATTATAAGATATAAAATAAATTACAAGATATAAGATAAATTATAAGATATGAAATAAATGATAAGATATGAAATAAATTATAAGATATGAGATAAAATATGAGATATGAGAAAAATTATAAGATATGAGATAAATTATAAGATATGAGATAAATTATAAGATTTGAAATAAATTATAAGATATGAGCATATTGAAAAAGAAGTGTCAGTGTTTAAGTCTTTTTGATTTCATTAAGTTAAGTAAAAAAAAAAAAGGAAATAGTATGTCTAAAGTTATAACAATTTAGCTACAATGGCTGGGCATATACAGGTTAAATGCCCAGCCCTTTTACATGATTTTTTTCATTAACATTGAATAATCATTGATGTTTAGAACAAGAAAAAAAATGCTATGAAATCAATAAAATTAAATAAATGATGACTCAATATATTATTAGTAATAATATTTTCATGAGTTCTTTCTTTTCTGACATTCTTTGTTAATTTTACAACTTCAATCTCTAACCATCTAGCATGATTTGTCTGTATTCTTAATAAACCACCCATCAAAAAAAGTAAAAGTATTTTTGAGAAGCTTTAAAAAAACTGATTCCAATGCTATTATCGATGAAGCTTCTGATAGTAACTAATAACCTCAAATGAAAGAAGATGAAAACGTAAATGTATCTAAAATTTTTTTTCCGATATAGACCGATAAGCTCTTAATAATCTACTTAAAAGTTGAGACTAGAAACCTCCTACTTTGAAACCTCCTACATTAAAACCTCCTGCTTTGAAACTAACTACTTTGAAACCTTCTAGCTGGCGTCATTACGTATCATATTTCAGCTTTTCTTTACTACTGGAGCACTCTGTTGAAATTAATGATGAACAGAATTTTCTGAGAACAAAAAATCTTCCGGTACCGGAAGATTTTTTGTTTGAAAGTTTTGAATATACTTTACTTTTTGATTGTTATATATTTTAATATTTAGAACGCTGATCTACGTAGATCAGCGCTCTAAATATTAAAATATATAACAATCAAAAAGTAAAGTATATTCAAAACTTTCAACTAATAAATATCAAAAAGTTTTATTTCAAAAAAGAGAGACAGGCATGGACTTCCATCATAAGAAATTTGAGATTTCTTATAATGAAAATTTTTAAATCTATTAATTGTTTAAATCCAATATTTATGAAAAATCTTTTTACTATAAAAAATCTTACGTATAAACTCCGTTGTAGCAAAAAACTCATTCTACCTCCTAAAGGCTCCATATATAATGGTTCATGCTGTTTTTTATATATTTGATTGCTCTGGAACACTCTAAACAGCCCAACAGATTGCTCTGGAACACTTTAAACAGCCCAGCGGGCATTTTAACGTCCTAAGGACGTCCGTAAGACGTCTTAGACGTCTCGTCCGTAAGACGTTCTTAGTTGGTCTCAAATGAAAGGCTTGAGGACGTCTATTCCAGACGTCCTAAATACGTTTTTTCAAGACGTCCTAGAAACGTTTTTTGCAGACATTCTAGAGACGTCTCTGGCTGGTCTCATATGAAAGACTTTATGACGTTATATTCAGACGTCCTAGAGACGTCTGAATTTTACCCAGATATTCTTTTAAAAGTTATATAAAAATGCAATGATTTACAACACACACCTTAAATTTACCTAGGCAAGGGAAGTTATAAAAAGAAATCAATGTATATAAAGTGTAAATTGATATATTTAAAATAAATTAATAACTTTACAAAAAATGAGAATAATTTTTCAAATAAAGTTACATTTTCCAAATTAAAAACTTTTAGGTACTGTAGAATATAATCGATAGTGTATTATAAAAAGAAGAAAATTGATGAAAAATAGAAAAAAAATTAAAAATACAACAGTTAATTAAGCAATCATTGATTGATATCCATATTAGTGGATGTTCTCTTTAATCGGTCAGAAGAATGCCTAATTACTCTCTCAATAAGTTGGATGGCATCCATTTTGGTTAAGTCTTTATTTGACTTTAAAGCAGCTTCAAATAAAAACAACAACACATATTTCAATAAGATCATAAAACAAAATATACTTGAATACATGTCATGGTCCATAGCCAAAGTAATTAAATTTTTTTTTTTAATTAAAACATCATTTTTAATTTTAAATTAATCAAACACATTAATAAGCTTATAAGAATACCAGTGACAGCGTTACATCCCAGCGGGCATTTTGACGTCCTAAGGACGTCCGTAAGTCGTCTTAAGTCTCGTCCGTAAGACATCCTGAGTTAGTCTCAAATGAAAGGCTTGAGGACGTCTATTCCAGACGTCCTTAAAACGTCTTTTTAAGACGTCCTAGAGACGTTTTTTGCAGACGTTCTAGAGACGTCTCTGGCTGGTCTTATATGAAAGACTTAAGGACGTCTTTTTCAGACGTCCTAGAGACGTTTGAATTTTACCAAGACATTCTTCCAAAAGTTATATAAAAATGCAATGATTTACAACACACACCTTAGATTTGTCTTAATCTAGGCAAGTGAAGTTATAAAAAGAAATCAATGTAAATAAAGTGTAATTTGATATATTTAAAATAAATTAATAACTTTACAAAAAATAAGAATAACTTTTCAAACAAAGTTACATTTTCCAAATTAAAAACTAATAGATACTGTAGAATATAATCGATAGTGCATTATAAATAGAAGAAAATTGCTTATAAAAATGGAAAACAAAAAAATACAACAGTTAATTAAGCCATGGTTGATCGAAATCCATATTAGTGGATGTTCTTTTTATTCGGTCAGAAGAATGCCTACTTACTCTCCCAATAAGTTGGATGGCATTCATTTTGGTTAAGTTTTTATTTGACTTAAAAGCAGCTTCTAAAAAAAAACAAACATGTTTCAATAAGATCATAAAAGAAAATATACATGTCATGTATTCATACACTTGAATACATGTCATGTTCGATAGCCAAAGAAATTAAATTTTTTTTTTTTTTAATTAAAACATCGTTTTTAATTTTGATTAATAAAACACATTAATAAGCTAATAAGAATACCAGTGACAGGGTTACATAGAATTGTCAACTCTTTAAACTTTTTTTTCTTCTTTAGACAATTCATGCTGTATTTTGACAAAATAGTGTCTGTTGGCAGTCTACATATATAAAAAAGAAGATAAATGCTGTACTGTCAATCATAAATGTTAAAATTCAAACTTTTGCTAATTACTTACAAGAGCAAAATATTTTTAATTGTATCAGCTAGATTTTTACCGCCAATTAATGATAACTGTTTCACCTAAAAAGAAACAATGTATAAGAAACATTGAAAATGTTAATGACAATTTAAAATAAATATTGTAATAATATATAACATATAAACTATAAAGATGAAACTCATGTATACAAAAGTATATATGTATATATATATATATATATATATATATATATATATATATATATATATATATATATATATATATATATATATATGTATATATATATATATATTACATATGACTTAAAAACATGACTTAAAATGCAGCTTAAAAGACACTATATATATATATATATATATATATATATATATATATATATATATATATATATATATATATATGTCTCTTAAGCTATATATATATATATATATATATATATATATATATATATATATATATATATATATATATATATATATATATATATATATATATATATATATATATATATATATATATATCCTTATAGTGTAGTCGAAAAAGACTTTTATGGTAAAAAAAAAGTCTCTTTCAACTACAATTTTTTTACCTGACTTGCAAGGGAATGCTGCTACATCGACTGGCAAATAACCTGACTCGCAAGGGAGTGCTGCTACATCGACTGACAAATAACCTGACTCGCAAGGGAGTGCTGCTACATCGACTGAGGATTTTCTGGTCAGGCTTATTAACGCGCTCTTTAAAACAACAGTTTATGGGAAAAACTTTGTGACTATCATGCAAAACTATATATAAATATATATATATATATAAATTTATATATATATATATATATATATATATATATATATATATATATATATACATATACATATATATATATATATATATATATATATATATATATATATATATATATATATATATATATATATATATATATATATATATATATATATATTACAGAGAACGACTCTGACTCCAATTCCAACTCCAAAGCAAAATTTTTGAATATTTCTTCGAATTCTTTAAAACAATATTATGCAATGATTAAAAAAATCTTATTTGCCAAATATATATGAAAAGTTCTTTGAAGGTTAAATAATTTTTACATGCACATGCAATAGAGAGAAGTTTTACTATTAGAGTCAGAGTCGCGATTTTGTTTAGCAACTTTGACTCACTTTCAATCTCGCAACTCCAACTCTATGACTACGCAACCTCAATTGCTCTGTTCTTTAAGAGCATTGCAAATTGCAAACATCACTCTGTTTGCAGAATACACTAACATAATTTGTACATATATATATATATATACATATGTACAAATATGTATATATATATATATATGTATATATATATATATATATATGTATATATATACATATGTATGTATATATATATATATATATATATATATATATATATATATATATATATATATATATATATATATATATATATATATATATATATATATACATTCAATA